AAGACATAATTTTTGATGGAATACATGTTTTTTTATTGTAACATATACTGAATATATACTAACATATATGCAACATATACCTACCTGGACAGCTGCATGAATTACATACATGTTTTCATCTCTCTCTATTAAAAACGTAAATGAATTAAATGAGTTAGTTAAATGTAACTGAATTTTAGGTAACTGGATTTTGAATGGAAATGCTGGAAATCATGAGCCCACTTTTTAGGTAACTGATTTTTAGGTATTAATGTAATTAAAAATCTTTGCAATTAGGTAGAAATTAAATTACTTATTTATGAATAGTAGATTTGCAAATTTTTCAATTTAACATAGGATAAGTAAAAATTTCCCATTTTATTAACTAAGATTTGTGGGCTAAACCATTAGGCAATTGTGATTTTTTCAATGTGTGATTTGTTGTTTATTTTGAAATATTCTACTTTGGCAAAGTTGCATTTTTAGTCCTGATAATTTAACGCCATATTATTTGTATTCTTAAGATTTCAACTTTTTGTTTTTTGGTTCTATAATTAAGTAATTGTATTCTTAAGATTTCAACTTTTTGTTTTTTGGTTCTATAATTAAGTATTTTGATACAATTTCAGTCCTTAATCACATGACTTAAATTACTAATAAAAAATTCAACCCAAATATTTTTATTAGCAATTTAAGTCTTACAATTTAATATATTTTTGCGATTTTAGTACTCAAATGATTGAAATTGCATTGAATTTTTAAATCATAAGACTAAATAACAAAATGTTCAGAACTTAGTACTAAAAACATCGTTGGATCACACCAACAAGACTAAAATAACAATTTTGTCTTATACTTTCTAAGTCAAATAAATAAAAACAATAAAAATATATGTTTTTGTTCTAAAGTCTAATGAGTTAACATGTATAATCATTAGGCCGCATAAACCCAGATTTTGTGGACATAATTTGTTCGGAAGAATGCAGTGATTTAAAAAAAAAAATAAAAAATGGATGGACTAAAAATATTTGATGTATATTTAATTATTGGCAAAATTGTAATTGTCACACTAATTGTTTTATGTATAGGAACTCATATAATATAAAATATGATAATGTCATACTATATTTTAACAAGTCCTTTTCTTTGATATACATCTAATGACAAAATTATAATACTAATATAACATTTTAACAAGTCATTTTCTTTGATATATATATATACATATAATACAAAAGTATAATATAACATTTTAACAAGTCATTTTCTTTGATATATATACATCTAATACAAAAGTATAATATAACATTGGAGGATGCGTGATTATAACAACAAATTGAGAATTGATTCATTAATTATCTATGTAATGCGCTTTGCTTTAAATTTTTATGTTATGCCAAAAAAAGTCTTGCATGGGAGAACAACTGAGGGTAAACTCATTATGAAAACAACAATTCCTGAGTTAAAGAAGTTTGGTCATTACTAAAAATAATTGACATAATATTTTATAAGGGAATTTTGGCTTTTTTTATAAGATTCTCTAAAAGTTTTCTTTTTTCAACAAACGCAATGAAAATTGTAGCCGAACTGGTATTTCCTACCGATTCATGCCATTCTTCGTAGTATACGAAGAAACTCGATCTCAAGTGGAAGATATTTTTATTTTCACTTAAGCGCCAAAATCTTCGTGCAAAATGCATTTAAAAGGTTCAATCGTGCAACCAGAAACTGACGTTGGAAAACATAAAGCTGAAACGACGTCGCCCAATGCTAAGACGAAAACAAAAGAAAAAAGAAAAGACACAACACGATTTTATTTGTAGAACACGACTACTCCTTAGGTGACAGGCATTTATAACGGCCAGATCATTTGAACAACAACATGCGACATGTATTCCTACACTCCCTCCTCAAGTTGGAGTGTGGGAGAACTCAAACACACCCAACTTTTTTTTTTTCCAACGGCAAAAAATTCATTCATTAAAGCAAAAAACAATGCAAATGTTTAACAAACACAACAATATCCTCCTAATCCAGATCATGAAAGAGCCACACACAGGTGGTCTAGAGCCCCAAGTAACTATAGCACCACAACTCACACCAAGATTAAAACAACTACACAGAAGGGTAAAGCAGTTACAAACACAACCGAGCCTTTACCTCTCTAACACCAACACAACAAGGTAAAAGAAGCAAACCACTGATCCAAGATCCTAGCTTGCATCCACAACAACAAATCAACTGGTAGAGGCCTGAACCACCCTAGTCATCAGAAAATTATTCCAATCACCCATTGCAGCTCGGACTACTAGATATGCAGGCCTCTGAACTTTCTCAACCAGCCATAAATTACGAGACTTCCAAAGTCACCATAGTATGTATGTAGAGAGTTGATTCTAGATTCAGATATCTCACCTTCATCAAGCTGACAGATATTCCACCACCAATTCTTAAACGATTCTGACGTGTGGGGGCCCCATTCCTTCAATTATTGAGATTTCACAGAAGGCAGCGAAAATCTCAATCCTGACAGTATCGCCTCTTTATTCACTGCAACGCTCCCGTCCGGGGGACCGTGGTCCTGCTCGCCTTCATATGGGGCAAACATCCTGAATCCTTAATAGTTCGGAATCGTTCATAATGCTCTCTTGTGTGCAGATCTTCATATCGATCTCTTTCGATGGCACTCATATCGGAGGACGACACTAACAACCCTCAGGCGTATGAATTTGACCCTCAAGCACTCTCATCTTATGATCGCTCAAACAAGACATGATTTCCATAAACTCAGACAAGAATACTCATGAATGCAACCAAATCAAATCCATTCGAAAAGGTAACATTGAGATACAAGAATTAAACATGCATAGTCTGATGTCTCATAGTCTTATAATGCGGAAGCTATAACATGATAAAAAAATACATAGTTCGTAAGACATGTTTAAGTATAAAATGACATAATAAG